AGAAAATTCAGGAGGAATGAAATAGATAGACTCTGTGAATATTTGAAGCAAGAAGACACTGTGAGGAGTAGTTTGGCTAGGGTTTAGTCCTTGGAGCCAGAGAGACCCAGGTTTGATCTTCAGCAAGGTACTCTGGATCATAATTTCTTCATCTATAAAATGGGGTCGCCCTGCCTGGGTAGCTCAGTTGGTTGGAGTTTGTCCTGGTACATCAAAAGGTTGGGGGTTCAATTTCCGGTCAGGGCACATACCTAGGTTGTGCGTTAGATTCCCCCCTCCCCCTGGTCGGGGCATCTATGGGAGGCAACCCATTGATGCTTCTCACATCAATGTTTCTCTCTCTCCCTCCCTCCCTTCCTCCCTCCCTCCCTCCCTCCCTCCCTCCCTCCCTCCCTCCCTCCCTCCCTCTCCATAATCATTAAAATAAAACAAACATATCCTTGGGTGAGGATTAAAAAGAAGGTATCAACAATGGATTTTCCTGATGGATTGTTGAAAGGACTAAAGGAAATAATGCACATAAGTGGCCTAGCAGTGACCCAGGCGTAGCTGAACACAAGTACTAATTAGTAGTTATTTGTTACCTTATTTCCTTGATTCTAAGACCACCTTCATCTTTCTTTCCCCACATTTTGCAATTCTGAAATTAGAACAGGCTTTCCTGTGATTTCCTGCAGTGATTTCCTTTTGCTCTCAGATCACTGTTTAGATCACTGTTTAGATCAGTGATCTAAGAGCAGAAAACGCAGTGTTTTATGGCAGGAAGGTGGAGTCAGTGTGCTCTAAGGTCATCCTGGGACTCATCCTAAAGGAAGAAGGAAGGAGGGAAACAGCATCTTAACTTGGGGTGGTGAGGGTAGGGGTGCTTTTAATGTCACAGATGCTGCGGGCGGTAGAGCGGGATAGATGGTGATGGAAGGAGACTTGAGCTGGGTGGTGTATTATAGAATTGTACACCTGAAACCTATATGATTTTATTATTATTATTTTATTTTATTTTATTTTTTTAATGTATTTTATTGATTTTTTACAGAGAGGAAGGGAGAGAGATAGAGAGCTAGAAACATCAATGAGAGAAACATCGACCAGCTGCCTCTTGCACACCCCCTACCAGGGATGTGCCTGCAACCAAGGTACATGCCCTTGACCGAAATCGAACCTGGGACCTTTCAGTCTGAAGACCGACACTCTACCACTGAGCCAAACCGGCTTTGGCTGAAACCTATATGATTTTAATAACCATTGCCAGACCAATAAATTCAATAAGAAAAGAAGATGCTGTAGACATTTGCTGAGAAGTAACTTCCAGAAAGGAGAAGTTGACAATCATGTAGAACTACCCATGTCCTCGGACCAGCAAATGACACCCCTTGTAGGATGTGGCAAAGAGTGCAGTAGATTCTGGAAACATTTATTTTCTGCTCCTGCCTCTGTCACTGACTGGCTGTGGGAGCTTGTCCAAGTATAACCTCTCTTAGCCTCTGCTTGCTTTTACCACTGGGCTCTTCCCACACACTCCATCCTGTATTCTGAGGGTCAGGTGACTTAATACCTAGCAGACTTTACCACTGGATCAGCACCCAGTGGGCGGAAGCTGCCCTTACTGTGTCCCTAGACACACCTCTCCCCTCGCACCTCCTTGCTACAGTGCTGAGGTCTCATTCATTCTTCCCTTCAACTATCCCCCTCCTGCCCACTCTTCAATGTCTGCCTCTAACGTTATCTCCTCCTCAAACCTTCCCACCACCCCTCCCCATTCTGGGTGAGTGTTGCCTGCCTCTTAGAGGATTTTTCTAATTTTGCCTTGTAGTAGTGCTTTTCCTGTGCAGTTCAATGTATCCCAGCAAATTGCTAACCTTTTGAGGGCAGGAGTGTGTCTTGCTTTTGCAAACCCTGCAGTTCAACACAGTAGTATAGCAAAGAATAAGAAGTCATGGTCAAGCTTTTGCTGAGTACTGACTATTCGTCACACAGGACAGTCAGTGGTGAGCTAAACAGCCTGTGCCTTCACTTCCTGGCCCCACCCATGCCCCAGGGAGACCCCGCCAAGCAGAGGAATGCCTGTGCACTTGAAGTTGACTGATATTTCCCCTTGCACACCAGCTGGAGGATGGCCAAGAGTTTGGGGTTCGCAAACAGCTGTCTTCTGGATGGTGCTCTGCTGAGGGGAGCGGGGCTCTGTGGGGCAGGCTGGGGAGGGAAGCTGAGCGCTGCCCTGTTAGGGGCCCGAGTCAGGAGGTGCCATGTGCTGGGAGGGGCTCGAGAGTGCAAGCAAGAGGAAGGGATGAGTAGGGATGATCTGGGGGAAGCACACAGGTCAGGGCTCTGCTGATGGAGGAGGAGGAGGTGTGGCCTGGGCCTGGGTCAGGGCTCTGCTGGTGGAGGGGGAGGCTCTGACCGGGCCTAAAGCCCCACCTTAGAACTGCTCTGTATGGAACAGCAGGTGCCTCCTGCTGGGCATGAGCTAAGGGGGCTGCAGTGTGGTCAGTATTCACTGAGCCGTGGGCCCCTGTCCGCCCAGGTAATGAGCACTTGGCACTGGGCCTCATGCCAGCGTTGCACTCCTGGGCACAGGACACTGGGAACCAGGTGCCGTGTGACAGGCTCCGTGTTATGTTGCCTCAGAGGAGTGTTGGCTCAGGAGCCTGGGAATGTGTGTTAAAAATCCCACTTTTTCAGGAAGTTAGAAGTTAGAAGTGTTGGTTACATCTGCAAGACCTTCCTGTGAGTTGCGACTTCTGAACTGGCATGTGGGCAGGACAAGAGTTTGGGGTTCGAGGGCTTCCCTCTGGCATGATGCCCTGTGCGGGCCGTCGCATGTTCCTCTAGTGTCTGCCGGGCCCGTAAGACAGGCTGGGAAAGCTGGTGGAGGGGCCCACTTCTCAAGAAGAAGGTTTGCCGATGGCTGTTTCTGAGCTGCGGGAGCTGGGGCCACTGTGTCCACCACCAGCTCTGTGTCCGAGGCGTCGCACCGGGTTCAGCACGTAGTTGTAGTCAGCAAATGTTTGGAACGAGTGACTTAATTTTGTATTTTTGTCCATTCTGTTCATTGTCTCTGTGTGAGTGGGTATGTTAGTTTCCTGTGGCCCCTTCAACAAGGCCCTGCAAGCATGTTAGCTCAGAGCGATGGAGGGTGAGTCTCCGGCAGGTCTGGAGGCTGGACGCTGGGAATCGGCCGGGCCCAGCTCCCTGGGGCCTCAGGGCCCGGTCTGTTCTCTGCCTCCTGTCCTGTGGGGCTCCGGGAGGTGTGGCTCCTCCTCCCTCCCTCTCTGTGTGTTAGGACACCTGTCCCTGTGCTCTGGACACAGGACACAACAGGCCGAGTGCCTCATCTCATGCTTCTTAGCTTGCTTGCATCTGCAGGGACTCTGTTTCCAGATTAGGTAACCCTCAGGTCCTGGGGATGAGGGTGCAGACTTATTGGGGGGGCACCATTCAGTCCACTATCAGGGGTCTTAGTGTCTTTCTAATCAGTTCTCGTTTAGCTATTTTAAAGACTGTTAGCGGCTGGGATTGTGTGTCCTAGCTTTTGTTTGATATATATATATATATATATATATATATATATATATATATATATATATATATATTTTTTTTTTTTTTTTTTTTACTACAGCTAGATTTCACTCCCCTCCTGATTTTAGGTTCAGAGAGTCCCCCACTGACGGTCCGATAAGTAGTCATTCACGTCACAATAAAACCTTAGGAAATTAACATTTAAATCCTGTGGTAACTTGTTTTGATATCTGCTGTGAGGTGAGGGTCTGCACTTAGAAAAAATAGCCAGTCTTAACAGGCACACACACACACACACACAGAGAAGAGAGAGGAAACCTGCAAACCCGGGCGGTCTGAGCCAGGGCTGGGCTTCGTTAACTTGGTGCCACAGCCGGTTCCTGGTGCCACCACAGGCACACTGCGGGTACCAGGGCCTTTCTGTTCTATTTTGGCAATTTCTTGTAGATGATCATTATTTTAAAAAAACCTTTTTTAAACAGTGAATCAGATTTACCAATACCAACTATTAAATAATCTATTCTGTTATTTGCAAAGCTTTATTAAGCTGTGGTAGATGCGAGGGTGTGTAGCGTTGTGGTTAAACTTACTTAACGTGGGCAAAGTGACCTCGTTTGGTGTGTGGCCTTCCCACCTGAGAATGCTGGGGCTTTGTTTAGGCTGCACTCAATCTGCGAACAACGCGTGTGCGGTGGGTCATAGACACTTGCACGTTTTCGCTGTTACTGTAGATCACATGTGTTAAACACAAGGCCCGCGGGCCAAATCCGTCCCGCCAGGCCTTGCAATGTGGCCCGCACCGCGCTGTCATCACTGCACTCCGCTGCGTTTCCATCACAATGACAGTTTATGACTGTTCAGTAAACCATTCGGCCCGCGATTTAGGCTGGATTTTAGATTTTGGCCCCTTCTCTGATTGAGTTCGACACCCCTACTGTAGATGAACCTTCCTTCCTTTTTCACTCTCAGCAGCTTGTGCTGGCTCGGTGGCACCGAGCAGAATGCCCGCACCCTTTTCCATCTGTGAGATTCTTTAACTCGGAGGAGCTCTCACTGCACCTGGACAATGATTAACAGGCGTTCTCTTCGGTGTTACACCTGCTCTCCCGAGGGGCGGGCGGCTGTTTACTCCCACATGGATTTCCGCAGCTGATCTCTGTCACAGTGTGTGTGGGGGGCATTCTTTGTAAAGAAATACACAGTTACATTCCATCGCTGTGATGCCCACTGCATCGGGTTGGATTCTGTTTCTGTGAGAATTGTAGAGGTGCTGCCTCTCCAGGGCCATGTGGTGTGTTACCCGGGGTGCCCTTGGCCCAGCCAGGTGGCAGACAGACGGGCTGTCCGTCCAGGGGGCACCGGAGCTGACGCTGGGCTTTCCCGGCCATGAGCCGGGGTGGCGCTGAGTCGGTCGGGAGGCCACTAGCTGTGAGCCCACATTGAGAACACTCAGAAACGGGGAGTGTCCTCTGCACTTCCTCCAGGTCAGTCTTACGAAATCCGGCTGCTGGAGAATCGGAAGCTGGGAGACTTCCAGGATCTGAACACAAAGTACGTCAAGGTAAGTCTGTGGGGTGCTCTCCCTCCCTGAGGGTGGGTGGGGTCACAGCGCTGGGCGTGCTGTGGTGGTCAGGGGTGGCATGGGGTTGGGAAAAGCCCCAGAGGGAGAGTGGCTCCTGTCTCCCCCCACTGACCCCCACCCCGGCGCTCTCCCAGGGACTAGGACGGGCCACAGCCGAGAGCCGGAGTGGCGCGGGCTGAGGACAGGCTCTGGGCTCCGGGCTGGCCACTCACTGAGCTTTTCTGAGCTTCTGTGTGCTCATGTGCACAGAAGGACTGACAAGTAGCTGTGTGTGTAAAGCATTCTGTAGTCACGGACACAGGGCAGGCAGCAGACTTCTCGCTGCCGCTCGTGTTGCTGGGGTTCTGTGGGGGGAGTTGGGGCGCCCCGGGCGGAAGGCTCCAGGAGGAGCAGCCTGGAGGGTGGGGTTCCCTGGCTCAGAAGGCGGCAGGTGGGCTCCTCTGGGTCCCTCTTGGCGCTCACACTCAGCTCCTCCCCCCTGCTTTCCCGCCAGAGCATCATCCGTGTGGTTTTCCATGACCGCCGGCTGCAGTACACGGAGCACCAGCAGCTGGAGGGCTGGCGGTGGAGCCGGCCCGGGGACCGGATCCTGGACCTCGGTGAGCACGTTGGGGTTCTTCCTGGATGCCACCTGGGTGGGCGGGGCCTCTTAGGGCACTGTCCTGTGTGACACCCTGTGGGAGCTGGCAGAGCCACCAGGCCTGCTGCCAGGGAGCCCCAGGGCAGCTTTGAGGAGGATCCCGCACTAAAGGGTTTTGGTGAGTGATACAGGGCAGGCTGGCGTCACAGGTGGCCGTGGAGATGGAATATTGGGGGTCAGGCAGTGGTCTGTATCCTTCATCCACAGCCTTTGGGCCAGACGGGTTTTGGAATTCAGACGCTGGGATGCATCGGAAATGCCTCCAGCAGGCAGTCGAGCACAGTCCTTTCAGCAGCAAAATAACACGACTGTTCACGCAAATTGGCATTAAGACTAACAGCTTCATGGCAATCCAAGCCAGGCCTTCTGCCAGAGGAGCTTTGCACGGCCTGATCGTTTGGCATCTCCGTGTGGTCAGAGTGGGGCTTGCGATGGTCCCGCCTTCAGCGTCGGGCGAGGCTGACAGTTGCACTTTGTGTGTGCGCAGATGTCCCACTGTCTGTTGGTATCTTGGACCCCAGGGCCAGCCCGACCCAGCTGAACACAGTCGAGTTTTTGTGGGACCCTTCGAAGAGAGCCTCCGCGTTCATTCAGGTACGCGGGGGGAGAGGGGCGGTGCCCGCTGGGGGGTACAGGAGGGGGGCTGCCCGCTGGGGGTACAGGAGGGGGGCTGCCCGCTGGGGGTACAGGAGGGGGGCTGTCCACTGGGGGGTACAGGAGGGGGCTGCCCGCTGGGGGTACAGGAGGGGGGCTGCCTGCTGGGGGTACATGAGGGGGGCTGTCCACCGGGTGGTACGAAGGAGGGGGGCTGCCTGCTGGGGGACACATGAGGGGGGCTGTCCACCGGGTGGTACGAAGGAGGGGGGCTGCCCTGTGGGGGCGTCCATGTTGAGTTTCTTACACCAGCCCCTGCAGGCCTGCTGGGCCCTGCCCTCTGCTGGGGCCGGGGCTGCAGGGATGCAGTGTAGAGTGCCCATAACCAGAGCTTGTTGGCCTCGGGGCTGGGAAAAGGATGGGAAAGTTTTAGAATCCTGTGTGCAGTTTGCTTATGAATATGTAAGCTTTTTATAAAATACAGTCTTTCCTAGCATCAATATTTTGAGGTAAAAAACAGTCCTTTAATAGTTTCTGTTATCAAGTTAATTTCTTAACGGTCAAGCCCTGTGCATGGGTCCAACCTCATGGTCAGCACAGCAGCAGGCGGAGCTGGCTAAGAGCGTGGCCGCATGCGTGCTGAGCTGCCCATGTGGCTCTCCCTCCCGGCCGGGCCCTTTGTGAGCCTATTTTCATCAGAGAATGAATATAAAGCCATCACCACAGTGCCCAGTTCCTAACAATGGCTCAGTAGAAGTTAATGATCCTTTTCCCATAATTATAATATTCTTGTACTTTAAAGTTATTACCTTATTATTGTTATCATAATATGCATTGTGCTAATTGAAACAAACAGCATTATAACAATAAATACATACCAGGTGCCCTCTGTGTAGTAAGTCCTTGCAGAAGTACAGAGAAGGTTCTGGCCTTCTGGTCACCTTTGGGCCTGGATGCCAGGCCATATAGGCTAAGCTGTGGCCCCCCTACTCCCCTGCTGCCTGTAACATTTGCCAAGGGAGGTGAGGGGTGAGAGTGAGGGGAGAGGGGGTTCCTGGGGTCGGCAGGCCTGGAGCAATGGCCAGGACTTAGCTGGTCAGGGGACAAAGGTGGGAGGCGTATCCTTGTGGACAGGGCGGTGGAGAGACCACCTGCCCGGTGGCATGGACAGCGCTGGGGGGAGGGGAGGCTGAGGGTGTCACCCGGCCAGGCAGGATGGGCCCTCCCCAGCAGCCCTGCGTTCCCCTCCCAGGTGCACTGCATCAGCACGGAGTTCACCCCGAGGAAGCACGGGGGCGAGAAGGGGGTGCCGTTCCGGGTGCAGATCGACACGTTCAAGCAGAACGAGAATGGGGAGTACGCCGAGCACCTGCACTCCGCCAGCTGCCAGATCAAGGTGTTCAAGGTAGGGACGGCCTCGCCACACCCTCTGTGTCCGTGCCCGCAGGACGCCTGCTGCCTCCGACGCTGACAGCGACGCCAGATGTTCGCGCAGTGTCACGGGAGGCCCAGCGGGAGCCCCCACTGGGCTCCTGCCTCTGCCCGCGCCCTGGGACGGGCCCCGCGCCGGGCCCGCCTCTCAGCTTCCAGCATCGCATGTGTCTGCGCTCATTGCCACTTCACGGGAATGAGTGCATTTGCACATTTAAAAATGTGTGTTTCCTTCCGAGGAAACACTTGGACTTGCCCTCAAGTGTTGAGGGCAAGACTTGCCTCTCTCTGTAGCGCCTCCCGCAGAGCCCGTGCACGGTGGGCGCGTGGCAGTGACCTGGAGAGCGTCTGCGCCCATCTCAGCGCCGGTCCCAGGACCAGGGGGCGAGCAGGGCAGGGCTGGTGGGTCTGCTCGTGCGTGGCCACTGCTGGGCCTGCTGCCTGCGGCTGTGGGCAGTGCTGCCGCTGGGGAGGGAGGCAGAGGGCAGGAGTTGGGTGTGTTTCCTGCCAGAGTGGCAGCAGCCTTCGTACACTGCTTAGAGTCCTGAAGCCTCCGAACCGTCTCCAAAGGAAGCGGAGCTTCTCCACCTGTTTGTCTTGCCTTGCTGTAACCAATTACCTCATACTTAGTGGTTGAAAGGTCACAATGTATTGTCCTCCTGAGCTGCAGCTCCGAGTCTGACCTGGGCCTCCCTGGCCTGGTCTGGGCTGGGCTGTCAGCAGGCGCGTGCCTCCCAGGCGCTGGGGGAATCCTCGTGGCCTTTTGCAGTCTCTCGGGCCTCTGCATTGCTGGGCTCAGGGCCCCTCCCTCCGTCTTCAGAGCCAGTGGGAGGGGCCTCTCTGACCTGCTCCCCTCCCAGGGCCCTGTGGTCACACTGGGGGATGCAGGATCATCTGTTTTAGCCTCACACGGTGACTAGTCTTGATTCCATGTAAGCTTGCCCCCTTCGACATCCTCACAGGCCCTGGGCGTGGGGCTGGCTCTTTACCCTCCATGGTACAGTGGGTGCTATTGCTCTGGTCTTACTGTGTGCTCCAGGATCTCGGGATGTGGGCCACCATGGACGTCTCCACCGGGCGCCGCTGGTGGTCTTTCCCTGTGCCCCAGCCACATTCCTCCCAGACACCGCGTCCCCGCAGAGCGGGCCCCTCCTCCTGCAGGGTGTCCAGTGAAGCCGCTGCTTGTACTGTGTGCCTGGCTCGGACCATGCTGGGTAGTAAGAGAAGAACCGGGGGGTGTGCACCATGGAGCACCCGGTCCTGCCATGGCCCCCACCAGCTCCCATTTCTGCACCTTGAGGCGGAAGCTCAGCAGTGAGGGCCCTCCCTCCCACCGGGCCCCTTGACTGCACACCAGGTGTTTGGGGAACTGGGCCAGCCCTGCTGCTGCCGTGTCTGAGCGACCCAAGAAAGGCTTGGCACCTCCTGCCCGCGGGGACACAGCACCCATGTCCATGCCTCTCACAGAGGCAGTTCTAACAGGTGTTTGCACATGCCAGGCAGAGTCCAGCCAACCTGTCCGTCACCCTCCACCCTGGTCGCCCCAGTCCCGGGAAGCAGGGCTTCTGGAGGCTGCCCTGGGGCTCTGTGCGGGCATCAAGGCCTTCGCAAGGGAAGACGGGGCCCCTCCGACCAGCAGCGCCCTGTGGTGTCACCGGGCTGAGTGTGTCCCACACGCAGGCACAGCCTGGCTCTGTGTCTCCCGGGCATCTTCCCAGGAGCAGGGCCTGGAGGCGGAGCAGGTGATGGGGGCTTGGCGGCAACACACCTGCTCTCCCACTGAGCCCTGGACCTGTCCTTCTGCTCCCACATGACCCCCTGCAAACCCGCCTCTGTGCAGCGTAGGCATTGCTCTGAGCACTCTTTCCTAAAATCCCAAAGCTTTGCCTGAGGGGGGAGCCCGGACGATGAAAATCCTTGAAGACGCCATTGAACTGGAGAGTGAATTTTGCTCACTGATTGCCCACTGTGTGTGGCCTGCTGTGTGCACGGTGCTGCTCAATCCTGGGGCTGCACTCACCAACCCCACGACATGAGAGCCCTGTGGTTCCTTCAGCGGCCTGCTGGGGCCGCTAGTCGGTGCATCCCTGGCTCTCACATCTGAATTGTGACCTGGTCAGCACTTGGTTCCTCTCCTTTACGTGAGGGGAGTGATCGTACCTGTGAGGTCGGGACACCTCAAATCCCTCAAGCTCATAGGACCCAGACAGGCTGTCAGGGAAGAGACCGCATGTGGCAGGAGACTGGTGTTGGGGGCCCGGAGGCCTTCATGACGTGTCTGGGAGCTCACAGCCTGTAAGCATGGGCCAAACCCCGACTGGCAACCCCCAGCTCTCTTCCTCCCCCCCACGGCTAAACCAGGGAGTGCATCGGGATTGCCATGGCTCTCGGGGTACCTCTCTGTAAGCAGTGGCCGCTGGTGAAGATCTTTCCCGGCATTGCCCCCTCTCCGCCCCCAGAAGCCCCGTGCAGGACCTGGCAGCTGAGTTCCCTGTGGGGGGAGGGCTCCAGGCAGGGGCATTTGCGCTTGGTGTCTGGGAAGTGAGCGATGCCGTCTGGTCCGTCCACAGATCCTGCCTGGGCTCTTGCAGGCTTCGTGGCCGCCGCCCAGCCCTGGGTTCTCCACCCATCGCCATCCCTGCCGGCTTTGGGCTGATCGGACCCTGTGCTCTGCCTTTGTAGCCGAAGGGTGCGGACCGGAAACAAAAGACGGATCGGGAGAAGATGGAGAAGAGGACCGCCCAGGAGAAGGAGAAGTACCAGCCGTCCTATGAGACCACCATCCTCACCGAGGTGGGCGGCAGGCTGCTGCCAGCAGGGCTGGCGCTGCGGGCTGGTCTGGGGGGAGGGAGGTTCACTGCTTTGAGAGCCCCGATGGTGGGGGTGTGCGCTGGTTTGGAGCTGTGCCCCGTGGCAGGAAGGCGTGGTAGAAACAGTTGTCTGTATTCCAGCCTTGGTGTGGGAGGAGCGGCCTGGCCCGGCGCACGTGGCCACAGGGTGAACGCAGTGGGTTGGAGGGCCTGTGGATCCGTCCGTTTACTTCAGTGGATGCCGGCTCGGTGCATCCCGAGGCGCCGGGCCCGCCCCCGGCAGGTCTGGCTCCTCCTGGGCCTGCCATAGTCACCGCTGCCTGTGCTCTCCCCGCAGTGCTCTCCGTGGCCCGACGTGGCCTACCAGGTGAACAGCGCCCCGTCCCCAAGCTACAACGGCTCTCCAAACAGCTTCGGCCTCGGCGAAGGGTATGTGTAACTCCCCGACTCCCCCCGACCCTGGCGGGATGACGGGCGTGGTCCTTTCCTGCCGTCCTCTTCACGTCGCCTGTCCTGTGGCCTGGCCTCCGTGTGGGTGTCGGGTGGCTGGTGGGTGTTGCGTTCACCACGTGGTTAGCACTTGCCCAGCTCTTGGTGCTCGGACAGTTTCTCTGAACGCTGCCTGGTGGGCGGCAGCCCAGCACCTCCCTGAGTCTGAGGAATAAGGGCCCCTCCTCCAGTGCAGGCCGGGGCGGGCCGCTGGGTGCTGGCGCAGTGTCGGGAGGTGGCCCGTGGCTGCAAGGCCTCCTGGGTCTGCAGCCTGTGCACATTCACTGGTGCTGGCAGCTCGGGGGCCTCTTCCTGGTTTGGGGGCTTATCCCTCGGTAGAGGCCTCCCTGCTGGTCATCCAGCCCCGCTGACTCCCAGCCCGTCCCAGGCCACGCGGCACCAGGCCCACAACCGCCTGTGGTGCCTCTGCGTGTCCTGCTTGTGGAGGTGGGAGGGGGCCAGGAAAACGCTGGCGGGTTTATCTGTGAGTGTGCAGGCTCCTTGAAGCCTGTGTTGGCACACAGAGAGCTTGGCTGCCAGGAACATAGCCATGCACTGATTGGCTGGTGGGGAGCCCTCCTGAGAGGCGGTGACGGAAGGCGGAAGGCGGAAGGTGTGTGTATTCAGGCGGCCTAGCTCAGATCTATTCCATCAGGGGCACGTCCTCTGCCCCCCTCAGGCTGGGCTCTTCCGTGGAGGAGGAAGAGCTGCCCGCAGGCCAGTGGAATGTATGCCCAGTGCCTGGTGCTCCTCGGCCCCGAGGGGCGCTGTGCAGGGACAGCTCAGGACCACCTGCGGGGCGGCGCTTTGTGCTTGTGGGGAAAGATGTGATGTGAAAGTGTCCGCTGTGGCATCTTGTGTGTCGTTCAGTGACATGAAGTGAATTCGGTCGTGCCGTCACCGCTGTCCAGGGGGAAGGGTCATTGAAACACGTCTTTCTCTCAGTGTGTGCCCCAGGAGCTCGGTCTGTGCTCTTGAGTGAGCCCCCGAGGAAGGTCAGGGGTCAGGCCTCCCCGGGGGAAAAGCCACGAGAATGTGCTCTTCGTGGACAATGCCCAACTGGGGTGCGTGTCCGCTGCCCATGGTCCCCGAGCCTTCCTCTGCCCTCTCCCATCGCCACAGAACACAGTGTGCTGCCCCTTGTCTGGCGCTCTGCCTGGCACCGAGTCACCGGACGCCGCCTGGGCCTCCACCCCCGCTCCGCCTGGGCTTGGGGCTGGGAACTCCGAGTGGGAGGGAATTCTGACCAGACGAGCCCAGAGCCTGGGTGGAGTGGCCTGGGCAGAGCGGCCATTGCTGGCCGGGAGAGTGTGGCTCCTCTGCCCACACCAAAGAGTTGATTAAGGATTTGGAGGAGTTGGACAGGCTCCTGCCCTCATTCCTCTGACTCGTGATTCTCAAGCCTCTGTGCCCTGGCCAGTGTGGCTCAGTGATTGAGCCTCAACCCCGGGAGGTCACCTGTTCAATTCCTGGTCAGGGCACATGCCGGTTGTGGGCTTAGTCTCCAGCAGGGGACGTGCAGGAGGCAGCTGATCAAAAATATGAAAAATAAATAAAAACAGCCTCGGAGCTGAGGGGGGAGGAGAGCAGGCAGGGGAGAACCCCAGGCCTTGTGCTCACACCTGTCGCTTCCTTTGCAGCAACAGCTCACCGACCCACTCCCACCCGCTGGAGACCCTGCCCGTGGGCAGTGACGTAAGTGTGTGCGGCCCTGCCCGGCCTGTCCCTGCAGCCCCGTGGTGTCCTGGCCCCTTGGCCCGTCCCTGGGCCGCCATGTCAGCTCCCCTCCCCTCCCCCGCAGCACCTGCTCCCGTCCGCCTCCATCCAGGACGCCCAGCAGTGGCTGCACCGCCACAGGTTCTCGCAGTTCTGCCGGCTCTTCGCCAGCTTCTCAGGTGAGCGGCTCTGGACACGTGGGGACCTTGAAACAGGGACCTTGGATAGGCGTAGCAAGGGCAGTTACCATCCTGGACGTGCCCTCAGGTGGGGGCTGTGGTTTGTCCTGGGGACCCGGAGCGGTGGGCCACGCACTCACACGTGCTGACCTGGGCCAAGTACCCCACGTCGTCGGGGTCCTGCCCTGAGGGCAGGTAACCTGGCACCTCATGGGCATCCCTTCACCAGCCGGCGGCTCCTGTCCGCCTGGGTTGGCCCTGAGCCACGCAGGCCGGTGCACATGCGATAAGCCTCCCGGCAGCTCTCCCACCGAATGCTGCTTGTCACTGTGCCCAGGCCACGCCTGGAAGGTGGGCAAAGCCCCAGTGAGAAGGGAAAGCTGTTATAGCTCCTTAAAGGGTGTTGGAAGCCTCACTGATGATTCATCAGGCGGAAGCCGGAGCTAGGAGCTATGGGTGTGAGGATAAACGAGTGTGAGCCTCTACCAAGCAGAGTGAGTCCAGAGGGACAGGGACAGGGTCCAGAGGGACAGGGTCAGGAGCAGGGTCAGTCCAGAGGGACAGGGACAGGGTCAGGATGGGGAGGGGGGTGTGTGAGGAGGACCTGACAGGGACCCTGCCCACAGTGAGTCAGTGTGGATACATAAACCAGGCATTTCAGAGTGGTGTGACCATCTGGGATGGAAGGCTCAGAGGAGGGACCTGGCCTGGCCTGGTCTGCATGGGGTCCAGGGAGGGCTGCTGTGGTCTTGAGTAGAGTGGTCAGCATAGGCCTTGCTGAGAAGGTGTCTTGAGTAAAGGCTGAAACGCGGCAAGAGGGCGAGCCACGTGGGTCCTGGGGAGGGGGTGGGCGACCTTTCCAGGCAGAGGAAAGTGCCAAGACTGCCAGGAGACATCTGCCAGGTGTGGCCCTGTAGCGGGATCCAGGGAGTGAGGCTGAGTGGATGGGGGAGAGGAGGGAGAGAGGTGCTGAGGGCCCTGTTGGGACACTGGAAGGATTTCAAGTTTCTTCAAAAATATATGTTTTTATTGGTTTTAGAGAGTGAATAAGGGAGGGAGAGAGAGAGAAAAAAACATCAATTGGACTGACCCAACCAGGTCAGTCCAGAGGGACAGGGTCAGGAGCAGGGTCAGTCCAAGGGATAGGAACAGTGGAAAGGGAGCTATTGTGCCTACAGAATTGTACCCAAAACATCATATTAACTGTAAGAAGTCAGGATAGCAGTTCCCGGGGCCGGGGTAGTGCTGGCGAGAGGGCTGTGGGGTACTAGGCGCGCTCTGGCCCGTGTGTGTGCTGGCCGCATGGTGCATGCGGAATGGCTGCAGCCACGAACACATATTCTGCCTGCAGACGAGTGTACGTGGAATCCATATCCCATCCCCTTAGAGGTACACATGCATTGTATGCCGAGAATACAGAGGACTGAGGGGGAAGGAGGGCTCGCAGGCACAGCTTCTGTAAACGCCTGTCCTACATGACATACGATGTCATGTAGCTTCTGACATCTTTGGGGCTGTGACCTGATGCTGTTTGGCTCTTTGCTGCTTCTCTCTCATGGAACGTCTGGTGCCGTGAGGATGCGGCTGGCTCCCTGTCCCCTGTCCCCTGCCCTCTGCCCCGGGGCAGGGTCTGCGGGATTTGGGGGCGGAGCCTTTCTGTGTCCCGTAACGGGCAGCCCCACTTGCCTGCCTAGGCGCTGACTTGCTGAAGATGTCTCGAGATGACCTGGTGCAGATCTGTGGCCCTGCAGATGGGATCCGGCTCTTCAACGCCATCAAAGGCAGGTGGGTGTCATGTCCAGCTGGAGGCAGGTGGTGCCGACAGGGCCTTGGGGCAAGTGTAGGAGGAGATGCGGTGGAGGGTGAGGGGCATGGGCTGCCCATGCAGGGAGCAGGAGTGAAGGCTGACCTGGCTGCAGGTCCCCTCATCCTGGTCTGCCGGGAGGCGTGGCCTAAGTCCTCAGGTGCCTGCGAGGTGGGGGTTCAGGCTGCTTCCTCCTGGGAAGACCATGGCTGGGCAGGCTGCCTCCTCCTGGGGGGACCGTGGCTGGGCAGGCTGCCTCCTCCTGGGGGGACCGTGGCTGGGCAGGCTGCCTCCTCCTGGGGGGACCGTGGCTGGGCAGGCTGCTCAGCCTGGGAGTGGTTTTCGGGAGGACGAGCAAGGCTGTGTCCGGGAGGGCTGCCTGCCGTGACAGCAGCGTTCTGGCACATGGTTCGGGGCAGCAGCCCTGGCCGTGCGTGGAGCGCTTGATCTGAGGCAGCGCGGCGGACAGACGGAGTTTTAAGCTGCAACTAAGGAATTTAAATGCCAGGTAGTAGAGTGAGAGCCTGGGTTTGAACCCAGGTCTGCCCCTTGGGAGTTTTGCAACTGGGTGAAGGCCCTCGCCCCCTGTGAGCCTGTTTCCTCGTCAATAGGATGGGAATGGCGGTCCTTGCTCCCTGGTAGGCGGTGTGAGCATGGAACACGATATGCCGTAACGTTCTAGAATGGTCCTGGTGCAGTCAGCCGAGGACGTGTTTGCTCACGTGACCCTGCGAAATGCCTCCTCCGGGAAGCTCATGTTCTGGGCAGAGCCCCTCCGCAGGTCGGCCTGGCTGGGATTCGGCCCCACCCCCACCACGGAAGGCACCCCACAAGCTTCCTCCTTTCTCCCCGACTCCTTCCCGCAGCTGTGTCATCCTCTGTTCTGGAACAATCTGCAACAACAGAGCTTGGTCTTCCACACCTGCTATTCATTTCCTTTCTTCCTGCCAGGAACGTGAGGCCGAAGATGACCATCTATGTCTGCCAGGAGGTGGAGCAGAGCCGGGCACCCCTGCAGCAGAAGCGGGACGGAGGCGGGGACAGCGGGCTGTGTGGTGAGTTGTGAGTCCGTGACCCGCCCCCCCCCCCCGCCCCCAGGCCGGTTCCAGGGGATGCAGGCAGGGACACGGTCTGTGTGTGAGCTGTGAGCCCTCCTCAGGGCTGGTGCCAGGGTGGCAACAGAACGGAAGAAACACCAGGGCTTTTCACCAAGAATGTGTCCCTGACCCCCTCACTTCGGTGTCTGCAGGATAAGTTTCGCTGAACCTCATCCTGGGATTGAAGTGCTTAAGGTGGACGGCATCCCCAGATCCCCCTGGCCCGGCTCCTTACTGCACACCCGGGACACGGGCCCAGCGGGTGGGTGTGTCCCCCAAGGCCAGAGGTCCTTGTGGTAGGACTGGGAGCTGGGCCTCTGGCTCCTGGATGGGTGACACATGGCTCGGTGGCTGGGGTCCCAGGAGCATGTCACCGTGTGATCCCGGCCGGAGGGCGTGGTTGCTGCCTGAGGGCTTAGGAGCGGGCTGAGGGGCACAGGACTGCTTGGGTGGGAGTTTGAGGCAGTGTGAGAGAGGACACAGCTTTGAGGTCAGCTCTCCTTGAGTACCAGTCCTGGCCATGCCGTGTCCTTGGGCAGGTACCCTGTGCGTCAGCTTCCACGTGTGTAAAAGGAACAGCGCCCTGGCCCTGTGGCGTGTGAGGTCCAGGGAGTTGAGCACAGAGTTCCCTGATGGCAGCTGAGTGCAAGCCGCCCTGGAGAAGGTGCCTTGTCTGCAGGAGCCCTGCTTGCTCTGCAGCACCAGCGGGGACAGTGCTGCAGGCCCGGCCGAGAGCGCTGCGGGCCCCGCGGGGGGGGGAGAGGGGGGGGGAGGAGAGCGTGCTGCAGCCCCAGAGGGACTCTACTGCAGGCCCTGACTGAAGGGCTGCCCACATGGTGGCTTACCCGCTTCTCAGGAGGAGCGGTTGCTAACGTTTCACTGTGGGGACAGAGGCACAGGGGACTGGCCCAAGGTGACAGCATTGTAAGTGGCAGAGCCAGATCAAACACTTGGACCCTGGCGCTGGCTTCTGAGCCCTCAGTGAGGCCTCCATACTCTGGTGAAGGCCCCGGTGCCCCCTGCTCTCGGCCTGGTCGACCTGCAAAGCACAGAGCCAGTGCCACGTGCCACACAGGGGAGGGGGCGGCCAGGTTGGCACATGGGAGGGGGTGGCCAGGGCCGCACACAGGAGGGTTCTGCCTGGTCCGCACAGGGTGTTCCACACACGGTGTGTGATTTAACTGGGGGTGGCCTTGCACTGCAGGTGCTGGCAGGACCCGCAAGGCTCCTGGAGGAGTGGGGACTGTTCCATTGTGCAGGGACCACATTGCCCGACGAAACCTCATAGTGGGGCAGCCTGTTTGAGTTGTGGATGGTGAATCTGTCATGTGGCTGGAACCTTGTGGCCTCTACACCCACTTCAAAAGTCACACTGTGTGTATGTACATGTGTGCATGCATTTATACATATGTATGTGTGCACTTTCACATGCATGTTGTATGCGCATGTACATATGTGTGCCTGTGCATGTTTTTAAAGTTAGGCCTCTGATCAGATGTGTTGGATGTGAGGGTTCCTTAGTCGAGGGAGGAGTTGGGAGCTGCTGGTTGAATCCGGCTGTTGTATCGATAGTTTGAGGAACTCGAGGCCTGAAGAATTAACTCACCAGGTCTCCATGGGGCCTGGCTGGCTTGGGTTTGGTGCCGCCCCAGCCTCAGGCCACTGACTTTCTGACTGGCTGGTGGCGCTCCAAGTGCCCCTTCTCCCGCTGGGGCCACAGTGCCCACATGCACTGCTACTGACTGTGGAGAAGGGTGAGGACAAGACCCTCTCTGCTGCCCGGTAGCAGTTGTCTAAATCTCTCGGCCACCCAATAGCATCAGCGACCCCTTAGCGCAAAGGAAGGAAGGGCCCAGGGCCCCCTCCCGGTCCCGCAGTGAGCACCCTGGAAGCTGGTTTAGCTGCAGATGCTGCAGCCCTCCTTCCTCCAGCCTCCACCCCATGGATGTCAGCGGGCCTGGGGTGGATCCAGGGCTTCCGCCCTTACTTGAGTCCCCCAAGAGACTGAAAACCGCAGCCGGCACACGTGAGAGGGGCCAACGGCATGCCCACTGCAACCCAGCCCCATTGACCCCCATGAGCACCCCCAGGAGCAAGTGACTGCTTTCCCGGGTGGGGCAGGGCGGGTGGGGTATACGAGCTTGGTAAAAAGCAGGCGCTTGCTCTATGGAAGCATCTGTTCCTGCCTCCTCAGTGTACCACGCCATCTTCTTGGAAGAGCTGACCACCTTGGAGTTGATTGAGAAGATCGCCAACCTGTACAGCATCTCCCCACAGCACATCCACCGAGTCTACCGGCAGGGGCCCACGGGCATCCACGTGGTAGTCAGCAACGAGGTGAGCTTGCTGCCTGCCCTGCCTGGTGAGCTGCATCCTGTGTGGTCTGGGGGTGACTTTAGCCCAAAGACTGCCAACGGGTTTCACCAGCATGCCACAGCTGCGGTGGCCGCCGGGATGCTGGGAGGGAGAGAGCTCTGAAGCCATGACTGGGTCTGAATAGCTTTCGAGAATCCACTCCATTACCTCACCTTGGCCAGGTCTGCAGGAACTGGAGCACAGACGGCAGCCCTGCTTTCAGAGTCCTTGCAGGGAAGTCGGGAGGCGTTGGGAGAAGGGTGCTCAGCCAGGGCAGGCGGCAGGGCCAGTGAGAAGTGACAGGGTGGGGGCTGGTGATGGGAAGGATGTGGATCAGTATGGAGGACCCTCTGCTGAATAGGGAAGGTGCCACAGCCTTCCTGGGCCGGTCACAAGCAGCCCCTGGCAGGGGCACAGGGCTGATTCCACAGGCTGAGGAGGGCTGCTCACCGCGCTTGCTAACACATCGGCGGTCTGCGATTAAGCCTCTTCTGACCTGACCTTCCCTCTTAATACTAATGGTAAGGGGAGCCAGCACTATCGAGTGCTGACTGTCCCCACTGCTGTCCCAAGTGCACTTGCAATGACTCATTTCATTATTTTTTATTTAAAAAAATCTTTATTGCTGAGAGTATTACAGATGTCCCCCTTTTCTCCCCTCATTGTCCCCCTCCACCCGGTTCCCACCCCACCCCACCCCAGGCCTTTACTACCCTGTTGTCTATGTCTATAGGTAATCCATATATGCTTATATGTTCTTTAGTTAATCTCTCCCCTCCATCTCTCCTCTGAGATTTGTTGGTCTATTCCATGTTTCTATTTTATTCATTAGCTTCTTTGTTCATTTATTTTCATTTTTAGATTCAATTGTTGATAGATATATATTTATTGCCACTTTAATTTTCATATATTTTAAAAGAATTTTTTTTTAAATTGGTATCAGAGAGGAAGGGAGAGGGAGAGAGAGAGAAACATCAATGATGAGAGAGAATCATTCATTGGTTGCCTTCTGCAACCAGTGGGGATCAAACCTGCAACCTGGGTATGTGCCCTGACTGGGAATTGAACCATGACCTCCTGGTTCAGAGGTCAACACTTAATCACTGAGCCATCCCTGTTTGTTTATATATTTTATCTTTCTTCTCCTCCTTTTCCTTCTTATTCTTCAAGAAGGAAACCAGTATTCATTTCATGTAATACTGGTTTGGTGGTGATGAACTCATTTAGCTTTTTCTTGTCTGTGAAGCTCTTTATCTGACCTTCAATTCTAAATTGAGCTTTGCTAGGCAGAGTAATCTTGGTTGTAGGTCCTTGTTTTTCATCACTTTGAATATTTCTTGCTACTCTCTTCTGGCCTGCAGTTTCTGTTGAGAAATCAGCTGACAGTCATGTGGGCATTCCTGTGTAGATAACTGACTGCTTTCTCTTGCTGCTTTTAAGATTGTCTCTTTTTCTTTAACTTTTGGCATTTTAATTATTATATGTCTTGGTGTGGGCTTTTTTGGGTTCCTCTTGTTTGGGACTCACTGTGCTTTCTGAACTTGTAAGTCTATTTCTTTCACCAGGTAGGGGAAGTTTTTCTGTTATTATTTCTTCAGAAGATTTTCAATATCTTGCTCTCTCTCTTCTCTTTCTGGCACCCCATAATGTTAAAGTTGTCCCAGAGGCTCCTTACACCATTTTCATATTTTTGGATTCTTTCTTTATTTTTTGCTCTTCTAATTGGGTGTTTTTTGCTTTTTCATATTCCAATTTGTTGATTTGATTCTCCACATTCTCTGTTCTACTGTTGACTCCTGTAAATTATTCTTTATTTCAGTTAGTGTATGCTTAATTTCTGACTGGTCCTTTTTCATGTCTTTGAAGTTCTCACCTACATTCTTTGAAATTCTTAGGAAGTGCCTTGAAGCTCTCATTAAGATGCTTGAGTATCCTTACAACCATATCTAGTAGTTTGTTTGCTTCCACTTCATTTAGTTCTGTTTCTGGAGATTTTTTCTGTGTTTTTTTTTTTTCATTTGTGACATGTTTCTTTGTCTCCACATTTTGGCTGCTTTCCTGTGTTTGTTCTTTGTATTTTGGTAGAGCTGCTGTGTCTCCTGGAGTTGGTAGAATGACCTTGTGGAGTAGGTGTCCTGTAGGCCCCAGGTGCTCAGCCTCCCCAGTTACTTGGGCACTGTAGGTGTGCCCCTGTGTGGGCTGTGTACACTGTCTTGTTGTAGTTGAGCCTTGATTGCTGTTGGTGTCACTGAGAAGAATTGACCCCCAGGCCAATTGGCTGTGAGGACCAGTGGCAACTACGGTGGAAGAGCTACAGTGCAGGAGATACCCCTGTGGATTAGGACTTGCTTCAGTGAATCTTTGGTGCTCTCAGAATCTTCCTCTTGAATATGTCACTCATGGATGTGTAGAGCTAAAATCTGGCATGGTCTGAAGCTGTCCACCTGGTGCATGGCTCTGGAGCCTCCTGGGAGGTGCAAAGTGGGCCACTGCCTGTGCCCTTCCTGGGGCCACTGGACAGGAGCTACAGATTGATCTGCAGATGGCTGCTACTTGTGTTGGGCTTGGAAGTGCCCAGGGGAGGCCAAGCTGTGAAGCAAGGCAGGCTGCTGCTAGTGCCAGGCCTGGGGCCCCTTATCAAGAGGTATGGGGTGCACTGACAACAGCTGTTACTTGTTTGAGAGATTTTAGGAAAGTCTAAATAAAGCCTGAGCTAGGACAGGCTGTTTATATGAAAAACCTGCTGCAAGCAGTTTGGGTCGGGCTGCAAATTGGGTGAGGGAATCACCAGGGTGAAGCAAACAATGTGAGCCATGTTGATTGAAACTCAGATATGCTGCCTGCCAGTCAGCTCTGTAACTGGGGGGTGGGAAGAGTGAGGGGAGGGATGCAGGGGGAGTGGGGAACGGGGAGGTCTCAGCATAGGAACAATGACCCCTGTGAGCATTCCTGGCTAAAAGAAAGCTGCCTGATATTAGACAATCCAGTTCCTTCCTCCCTGGGAATGAGTCTGAATAAGTCTGTGTGTTGGGCCTTTAAGAGGAACTGCGTGGGTCTCCAGCAGGCTCTATGAATAACTCATAGTCTACCTATGATGAATTATCCCATCTCACAGGAAACTGAGACACAGAGAGGCAAGTGCCCAGGTTGCACAGCTGGTGAGGGCTGGAGCCAGGGGCAGGGTTGGGGGGATACCTGGTAGTCGAGCTGTAGAGCCTGAGCACTGAGCCAGTAGGCTATCCAACCTCTCTTGAATTGACCCTTTAAAAAAAATAGGCTGATGGGAGCGGGCCTGGAACCGTGATCCCCCTGCTCAGCCCCTGCAGACCCTGAGCCAGCTGTGGGAACTGTGAAAGCCTATGTAGAGGATTTTAGGGGAAATGGCACAGGAGTAGTTGCTGGGGACATAGAGAAAATGTGGCGTTTGGAATTGGACTGGTGTCCCTGACCTGGAACTGGCTCCTAGTAGCTGAGCAACCTTGGGCAAATTTATTTAACCTCTTTGAACTTCAGTTTCCACATCTGTAAAACGGGGATAATTATACCTATTAAGCAGGTAAGGATAAAATGAGAAAACTGTGTTAGGTACCAGGAGATGCTAAATAAGCAGTGGATGTTGTTGCTGACAGTGCTAGGCACTTGTTATTTTGGGGAGCAAGTGATGGACAGATCTTTATCATAAATTTGATGATGTATAAAATGTAAGGCTTTTAATGGTCTGTATATTTATTGCAAAAATTATAATTATCTACACTAATAAAAGAGAAACATGCAAATTAAATACCACTCTGCTATGCCCACAAGCTGCGACCACAAGCCAATCAGGAGCGAGTATGCAAATTAACCCAACCAAGATGGCTGCTGGCCACAGAGCTGAAGCAAGCAGGAGGCTTGGGTTGCCTCCACAATGGAGGAAGCCAAGTTTCCCACACACCCTGGCTGGCCCTGATCTCCATTCAAGGCTACAAAGTTTCAATTATAGAAGATAAATAAATCCTAACAAAATGGCCGCTGCCACAGAGCTGGAGCAAGCAGGAGGCTTGGGTTTCCCCCAGCAATGGAGGAAGTCAAGCTTCCCACCCACCCGGGCCTCCATTCAAGGCTACAAAGTTTCAATTATAGAAGATAAATAAATCCTAGATGCTTGCTTCCAGCCTGCCCTGGCCTTCGCTCAAGGAGGCGCTGAAAGAAAAAATAAAAGAAAGGGTTGGGACCTTGGGTCTCCGAGGGTTGGCCAGGCCAGGATGGGACTGCAGGGGCAGTTAGGGATAAGCAGACCAACAGGGGGGCCAGCTGGAGGTGAGCAGGCCGTCCGTGGGGGTCAGTTGGCAGTGAGCAGACAGTGGGGGGGGGGGGGCAGTTTAGGATGAGCAGGCCAGCAGGGGGCCAGTTGGGGGTGAGAAGGCTGGCAGCAGGCATTTGGAGGCAAGCAGGCCGGCAAGCAGAGTGGTTAGGAGCAATCGTCAGGCAGGCTGGAGCCAGCAGTCACGGATTGTGAGAGGGATATCTGACTACCGGGTTAGGCCCGATCCCTGTAAACCGGCAGTAGGACTTCCTTTGAGGGGTCCCAGATTGTAGAGGGTGCAGGCCGGGCTGAGGAACACCCCCCCCCCCACCATGCACAAATTTCAGGCACCGGGCCACTAGTTAGTAATAATCTTATACTTCAGAGCCTGTGAGGTGAGGTGAGGTGGTGTTCGTTCCTTTTTATTTAAAAAGCAAGTCACATACGAAACTGGTTTGGCTCAATGGATAGAGCGTTGGTTTGCAAACTGAAAGGTCCCAGGTTCGATTCCGGTCAAGGGCATGTACATTGGTTGCGGGCACATCCTCAGTAGGGGGTGTGCAGGAGGCAGCTGGTTGATGTTTCTCGCTCATCAATGTTTTTAGCTCTCTATCCCTCTCCCTTCCTCTATTAAAAAAAAAAAAATCAATATATTTTAAATAAATAAATAAATAAATAAAATAAGATAAAATAAAAT